TTTTAACACAATCATCAATTTTTTTTTATTTTTTTTCTCTAAAAAAATTTTCCCAATTTTCGCCTCATATTATTTTTTGCGCATTTTCATTTGGTGAACACTTTTTTCTCAAATTTTTTGCGAACGCTCTATTAGAAAAAAATAAAAAAAAGTTTTGTGCATGGGCCAGCGGGTAGCTAGCAACCAAGCAACCCCCAGCCGGTGGCCATCTCTCTCTCTTTGTACACAACTTTTAGTAAAATAGCTAATTGCGCAGGAATGGTAGAGGCAGGCACCTTTCTCTCTCTCTCTTTTTAATGGGGAGAAAGTTGTAATGAAAAAGTAAAATGAAAGTTGAAATGAGGAAAAAGATGATATGATGGAAAATAGATGGACAGGGCAAAAAATAAATAGAAATTGAGATTAGTATCTAATTTATTAAAATTTTGGAAGAAGAGGAATGGTAATCCATGCCTTTATCCATATACAGTTGAACTTCCCTTTCTATCCCAAGATAGATGAACGGGGAGCAGGCCAGTGTACCGCGAGCCCAATGTACCGCCGAGCTATAACTCTGTTCAAAATTATCGAATCCGTGGCGCCCTGGTATGATTCGATTCGTCTCGACCAGCTGAATCGAAACATACCAAGGTGCCACAGATTTGAAAATTTTGAACAAAGTTATAACTTGGCGGTACATTGGGCTCGCGGTACATCGGGGTGTACCCAGTTGAACGTCTCCAAAAAATTAGACTTCAGGATCGAATTTAGCAAAATTTGAAGGAGGGTGATATTGAAGGAGGGTCAAATAAGCCTAAAACATTATCCATCGTGACTGAAATTAACTGAGTTTGAAAGAGGATATAATATATAGATAGAAAATTTGAGTCTATTTAGCTAATTATTTCAAATTTCTTTAATAAGGACTGGCTAACATACGTAGGTTTGGCTTATTCGGATCCAAAAAAATTAGGTTATATTTCAAATTTTCGGATCGGGGATCCGGGTATCATCCAAACTTTAATCATAACGGCCCGATTCAAAAGAATCACAAGGATTTTTGGATAGACTTTAGATAGGGTGATTTAAGATTTGAGACACTCTAGCCAACATCCAGATAAATTTAATCCAGACGAATAAAATATGTACATATATCGCTAATCTCAAGTAGGGTTGCGCGAGGTCGAGGCCTCGCGAAGGCCGAGGTGAGGACCTCGGTTATCCTCGGACCTCGCCTCAAATTTGATCCTCGACCTCGAACCTCCCTTTTTCAGTCTCGGTGATCCTCGGCCTCGGTTTTTTCAAAAAACCTCGACCTCACGCAACCCTAATCTCAAGTATATAAATATTTAATTAAATTTAAATTTGCGTCATTAAATGCCCTAAAATTTATTTCTTCTGACCGGCCATACCTAACTATTTATTTCAAATTTCTTTAATATAGCTCCTCTCCCATTCCACGGATGCTTAACGCTCTGCGCACAATCACACATTCTTCTCCAAATTTTTAACCCCCTTCCTTCCCGTCATTTACCATTTCATCAGTGGCCCTTGATGGACAGTATATTTTTGTTTGTGAAGTAGCAGCACAGCCAGGTACGGACAGGCACGGAACTCGTTTTTGTGCAAGTATTAAAAAAGGAGAAAAGAAGTTTTTGTAGGGTCCGAGAGAGCCACATGCATTTTGTTGCGTGTGAGAGGGAGAAGAAATGAATGAATGAATAATGCGGCTGGTTGCGCTTGCAGGCCAAAAGTATAGCAAATGTTGTGATCTAATGAAAGGTAGCATTAAATAAACTCGTATAACTCAAGAAGGGATAATCCTTTGGAAAGGGTTGGGGTCATAAGGGCGCGGGGCCATTAGGGCGCCAGCACTAAAAACTGACACTTAGGCGAAACCGAAATTTATGAAAATTTTCTCAAATTTCTTTAACATCCTAGACTACTTCCTCCAGAAATTTCAGAATTTTTCATCGAGTATTTCTGAAGTTATAGTCGATAAACCGCGAAAAATTAAGGTTTTTTCGGAAAATCAACATTTTTGGCCACAATTTCCGAAATTCTTGGTCAAAAATTCTGAAATTTTTGGAGAACGTAGATAAAGGCATGAGAGTTATTATTGCAAAATTTTATCTTTTTTGATAAGAAACTCACTGTTTTATAAGCTCGCGCCCTAATGGCCCCGCGCCCTAATGGCCCAGTCCCTTTGGAAATGATAAAGATATCGTTGGAAAGAGAATTAAATTTGCTTCAAAAAGTCAAAAATTTAGATTAAATAAACAAAGAGGAGTTGATAAGAACATTGTTAAAATTGGTAATTTTTCGAATGTTTCATGTAAGGTAACTCAAAAAGAGTTTAACATAAAGAAATGATATATCATTTGAATCAGGATTAAATTAGCTATGAAATGAATTTTGAACAAAAATTTTGGAAGATGAAGAGAAAAGAAGTAGAAAAAAACACTAGAAAATGACTACTTCGAGTTGATCCTACCTAAACTCTTATAGTAACACAAGTAGGGATGAACTAGAGAAATGATATTGATACAATTGGAAATAGGGTTAAATGAGCATAAAATGAGCTAAGAAGATAAATTTTTGGATAAAAAAGAAAAATACTATATATAGTTATAGTTCAAGACTAGGGTTGCCGTTTTCGAGTCGGGCCGGTACGAGTCACTTTCGGGCCCGACTTTATCGAGTCGGGCACCGAGACATTTTCGAGTCATTTATTAAAAGATTTATTTAAAAATAATTATTGGATTTGGAGGGAAATCTGAGAATTAAAAGGTATATTGATGGATCTGGAGGGTAAAGAAAGGGCTGAAGAGAATTGGGATGGATATCAGTTTGGGACCTCTTGAATAATCGAGAATTTTTGCCTATTCTCATTATTGCCTTACTTTAACGTATATTCACTATTTACTAAAAAATGATATGATTTTAAATAGCTACTCCATTTTCAAGTTATTAAATCTAAGTTCAAGTTTACGCCTTTCAGTGGTATATGTAGTCCAACAGTTTAGTGGGTTCTTTTTAAAAGAAAAAGGTTAAAAATGGATTAGGCAAAGGATCGAACTAAAAATAAAATTTATTATTATTTTGGAGCAATGCGGGAGGTTTTAAATTTATGAAATACAAAATAATAACTTAAATAAATTGAAAGAATTTAATTCAAAACACAAAGTAGAATTTAATTTAAAAACTTTAAAATTATGGCAGTAAATAAAAATGTAACGAATGATGCAAAATCAAAATAAATTCGTATTAGTTCAAAGGCATTCTATGATCAAATTTAACTTTATTAACCAAAGTTTGTTTCGCTAATTTTAAAAATATTGATAAGCCAAAATTTAATTCAAGCAGAACTTAGTAGTAATTATGAAGTTAATTTACATAAATGAATTTCCTATAAATTCCATCCTCATCTTTAGATACCTTGTGGAGTCGAAAATCGTCGCTTATAATGAGGTATATATCATAGAGGGTATCGCCTACGAAACTACGCTACCTAGAGGGAAACAAAATTAAAAATATATTAATATGCGTTATCACTAGGCGTTTAAAATCAGGTTAACTGTGAAAAATTCATTGGATACTAAAGTGGATAGAGTCTAATAAAAAAATTGCAATGAAGTTAAATTGAGAGGCTAAAATCAGGGAAAGGCGATTTGGTCAGTATTTTTAATAATGGCCCCTCGATCTAAAATAATATTTAGAAGACGCGCATTCATGCAATCACAACAAAAAGTAAATTTTCCGAGGGTTTAAAAATTGTAAAAAAAATAAAAAGCAATCGACAATCAAGAAAAAAGTCAATGTACAAACAATCTCCACCTCTTTTTTTATATTCATTTTTCTTTTTTTTCCTTTTCACTTGAAAGAAACTATTTACTCCCGTCATTTCTGCCAAAACATTTAACTAACCAACCCCTTTACACTTGCGCACCCTTAGCGAGTTTTTGGGGTTTGGCCTTGGAGGCTTTAAAACGCTGAAGAAGAGATTCGTTCAATGGGGTCAAGGCGAGAAAAAAAAGAAAAAAATGTTTTAGCTGTTGCCCTTCAAAAGGAAGGTCAAAATCGAAAGGAAAGACGTGTGAACTAGGAAGGATATACACACTATTTTCTCCAATCTCGATTTGGATCATACAATTATTTAGTATTTTTAACCTTTCCATGAAAGGTAGTTGGAAAGAATAAAGTATTATTTTTGTATAATAAAGTGATAGCAAGCAAAGTACTTGACTACAAATCCAATTTTTATTCTAATTTATACATTATTTTATATTTGGAATAATTGCTATTTTGTAAATATTATTTAATTTTTAATTAAAGATTTAAATTTATATATTATTTAATATTGGGAATAATCGCTATTATGTAAATATTATTTAATTTTTGATTAAAGATTTTAATTTATATATTATTTTATATTTGGAATAATTGCTATTTTGTAAATATTATTTAATTTTTTGATTAAAAATGGGCAAAAAAGGCCTTCAGGAAATTCTTAAGTTTTGGAACTAATGGCAAAATTGCAAAATTGTGCGAGGGAAATTTTACGAAAAAATGCGATAAAACAGGATGTTAAAAGAAAAAAAATTCAAAATTTCAACAATTCTAATTTTGGACAAGTGTCAAAGTTTGGATATGTAAACTTAGGAACAAAGAGAGTTTCTAATGAATTTCTTTATTTTACCGGAATTAAATAATTTTTATTTTTGCCGGTAATCACTTGATATAAGTAGGGATCGGATTTATATTTAAATAAGGCACAAAACCTACTTTGGTCATGAAAAAGCCTTGACTGACCAGTGTCTGACCATTGAGTTCTAATAGAAGAAAGACAGAAATAACCAGTGATAGATGTAATTAAAAATGGAGAGACAGTGGCCAGTTCGAGGGCAGGGCCGCTTCAGTAATTTATTTAAATATAAATCGATCCTTAGATATAAGTTTAACTCTATTATATTCAAATTAAGCCAAAAAAGACAATAAAATATTAAATAATATTCATTTATTTATTTTTCATTTTGATTTAAAAATATGAAATTTTTATTTTTAAAACATTTTCTAAAAATTTTTTTATTAATTTTCTCCAGGCTTTGCAAACATTGGGTTGACAACCGGTTCCTTTAAAAATTAAATTTTATTAAAAAAAATTTTTTTTTCAATTTTCTTACATCCTTTTTAACTTTGTGAGCAGAAATGTATTGGTATTGGCTAGCATCCTCTTTATCTCCTGTTGGAATGGCATCGATATCTCTTGCGACAGCACTGAAAATAATTAAAATGAGTTGCTCTTAAAGAGATAGCTAACATATTTTGCTCTCAAATCAGAAACCTTAAAAGATGTATTTTAGAAGGATTTTAAAAGACTAGGGAAGTTCCACAGCAGGGCTGGGCGTAACGAAAAAATAAAATGCGAAATGCGAAACTTTTCGCGCCAAAAAATACGAGAATGCAAAAGATGCGAGACGCGAAAGTGCGAAATAAGCCCAGCCCTGTTCCACTGCTTTGTTACAGCCGAATCTCACTACAGGATACACCTATTAATAGGGGCACAGGGCTTAACACTTGTTTGATCATTGGACGTCCGATCCTCTGTATAAAAAATAAAGAAAGGACATGACGTGATCTCGAACAGAACAAAAATCTAGGTTATCGAGATCGGGATTATTGAAGAAAGAGTTTGCAAAGTTTAGCCACCGGGCAGGATTCGAACCTGCGACCACTTGCTAGTTGTTGCTAGGCGCTTTCGCTCACTATATGCAGGAGCTCTACCTCTGAGCTACCGGGGCATCGACTAATGCTTTCTCTTTTTCCTTTTAGATCGTTTAACCTTAGTTCACGTGAATCTTAGTTCACGTACGATCGTCCCAGTCCGATCTTTAATTAAATGACTGTTATTTAAGATATAAGGAGATGCCTCATATTGCAGCTATTTTTACTTTATTTTTGTCTAAAGACTTTTCTAAAAAATTAAACGAACATATTTAACATTCCAGAACCCAAACCAAAATCTGCCGTGAATTTTGGAGTCTTGCGTGGCTTTAAAGGTTGATAGCCATGATAGAAAGAGTTGTCTTTCAAATCTTGATAGGCAGAATAACCCTCACCTTTATCAACCATTTTAATTTAATTTTAGTTCGAAAAAAATTTTTTGGCCTAGAAATAAAAAATTTACCGTAAATATCCTAATAGAAGCCCACCCCTAATAGAAGCCCATCCCTAATAGAAGCCCATCCCTAATAGAAGCCCATCCCTAATAGAAGCCCATCCCTAATAGAAGCCCATCCCTAATAGAAGCCCATTCCTAATAGAAGCCCATCCCTAATAGAAGCCCATTCCTATTATAAGCCCATCCCTAATAGAAGCCCATTCCTATTATAAGCCCACCAGATGGGGGTATTGAAAAATATAGGCCCAGGGCTTATATTAGGATATTTACGGAAATTTAAATTTAGTACATAATTAATATCAAAAATAACTAATTTTTTAGATCGTCTGAGAATGAAACGAAATATTTTATTGTTTAAATTTTTGTTAGTTTTTTGCTAATTTTCAAGTTCAAAGAGACAAAGCTCCCGAATTTTATTAATGTTAATTTTTAAGCTTAATATTCTAAAAACTTTTAAATGTACCCCTTTTTCATCAGGGGCCAGTCGGCGTTGGGCCCCAAGAGTGGTAACCCACCCTTGGGGCGCGCCGATCCACCAAGTAAAAGGAAAGCTTTCTCTTTAACTTTTATTCAACAAATATGTTTAATAATAAGGGAGAAAGAACTGGCCAACTTTTGGTCGGACTTGAGATTGGGCGAATGAGCTTATTTGGCCAGTTCTTTCTCGCCTTTTATGGGGTATTAAAAATAGGCGTTAAATAATTTTTCTTAACTATGACATTATTAGTAAAAATTTTCAAATTTTAATAAAATTAAAAATGAAATTGGATATTTAAAAATATTTATTTATTTATTAGAATTTTGAAATAAAGTGTTAAAAAAGAGAAAATGAGGAAGGAATATATCTAGAAAGAATAGACGTGGGTGTAGAAAGTAAATCCTTTAAATATAAATATCCCAATCGAACACATGTTTTTTATCCGTTTTGTATTGAACAAACAAAATTCAGCTATTAAGAGAAAAGATATTTTAAAGTTTCGATTTTAACAAAAAAAAACTTTTTTAATTTCAATAAAAATATTTTTTAATAAAATTGCTGTTCAAAAACCCCCAACAATAATAAAAATAAATTAATAGACAATTGTTTTTTTCAATGGAAAAATAAAAATATAGGTTATGTTATGTACGTGACTTGTATGTATACATACGTACTAACAAGAATAACAACAAGATAAGACAATAACTAACGACTGTGTTTTATCTACAAGACTAAATACAATAATAGCGAACAATACAGTACTGCACAAAAGTATAAGAACACTTTCAAAAAGCTTATAACTTGGGACATACTTGACAAAATTTTAGGAAATTTTGTGTAAATGTGTGGATTATAAAGAGAAACACGATTAAATAATTAAAATTTTAAATTTTTTAAAACATCTCTCCAAAACTTAAAATTATTAAAATTTCGCGTTTTTTTACTGCACAAAAGTATAAGAACACTTTATAAAAAAGATACTTCCAAGATTAGGAAAAATTTACAAAAATTCTAGCGAGCATACATAATGATATTATGAAAAAATAAAAAAGAACTAGACTCATATCTTTACCCGGAGCCGAGATCCCGAAACCCCGAAAATCAACGTAAAACGGGGGTAAGGCTCTTTAAAAAAATTTTTCGACCCCTTACTAATTATTTTCAATTTTTATTTTGGGCTCATTTGAAAGCCCTTGAAATTTGCTACAAGATAGCAACAATCTTATTTTTATGAAAAAATTTTATAGGGAGGTACATGCATTCAAACTTCGGAAGCGACCTTAAGGGGAATTTTATGGGGCATTAAGGCGTTTTTTTCTGCATAAAAAGTTTAATGCCTGCTTCTTTCTCTAAAATTTTTTCTGAAAAATAAGATTGTTGCTATCTTGTAGCAAATTTTAAGGGCTTTCGAATGAGCCCAAAATCAAAATTTAAAGTAATCCATAAGGGGTCGAAAATATTTTTTAAAGTTGAAAACCCCTGTTTTACGTTGATTTTCGGGGTTTCGGGATCTCGGCTCCGGGTAAAGATATGAGTCTAGTTCTTTTTTATTTTTTCATAATATCATTATGTATGCTCGCTAGAATTTTTGTAAATTTTTCCTAATCTTGGAAGTATCTTTTTTATAAAGTGTTCTTATACTTTTGTGCAGTAAAAAAACGCGAAATTTTAATAATTTTAAGTTTTGGAGAGATGTTTTAAAAAATTTAAAATTTTAATTATTTAATCGTGTTTCTCTTTATAATCCACACATTTACACAAAATTTCCTAAAATTTGGTCAAGTATGTCCCAAGTTATAAGCTTTTTGAAAGTGTTCTTATACTTTTGTGCAGTACTGTAGGAATATGGCTAACGCCGAATATGTGGAAACAAAATAGAATAACAGAATAAACTGCGACAATAAGACTAAGACCGCGACTGAATAATAGGAAGGCTTTTATACTAGAAATTGGAAGAGCCGGAAATCGGAACTGGCACAAAAGTCGAACTCGGAAATCGGAAATCAAAATTTATTTTGCAAATCCGAAGTCGGAAATAAAATTTTTATTTTAAAAACTGAATTAATATATAAAATTGTGGTGGCAAATTATTATTATCTGGGTATTCTGATTTACCAGATTAATATCTGGGAAATCAGAATTTCGAACCAACTTTGCTGGTATGCACATATTAAGAAAAAAATAGAAGGGAGCTTAAAATTAAATGTTATATCAAAATAAAAGTTACTATTATGGTTGTTGGCGGCCGGTTTTAAAACTGGAATTTTTGAAATTTTTTGCCAAAATAAACCATTTTTAGGAAATTTTAAAAACCAAAACCGGAAATTTGTGAAAATGAGTGATTTTATTAAAAATTCCTCCGAAATAAAACCGGTATATGCCTAAAACTCAAAACCGAAAACCGGGGGTACCGGTTAATAACCGGTAGCCAACAACCCTAGTTACTATCTTCAAACTTCTAAATACGCAGATTTAATAAACTTGAAATTTTATACCAATAATAATTTAATAAAAGTTTTAAATAAAAATGGTGAAATAATGCAACCAGAAGCTCGTAATAAAATTCAAACTCGTACGCGTACCTGTGTACGAATTTAGTTTTTAAATCTTATTAAACGTGAAAAAATCTGTAAAAATCTTAATTTCGGCATGAACTTTTCAAAATTTTCGCTTACGATGCAGAGAAAGTACGTGTACGAGTACAAGGCAAAAAAAAAGTAAAAAAAGATAAAAAATTTCAAAATTCCAACCACTGGCCATAAACAATCAAAAATACGTCAAAAATTTAGGTAAAATTTCCTATTTTTAGTAACCAATTTTAAAAGAAAATAGGTATATAATAATTCTTCTACATGTCAAAAATAATTAGAGATCGGAATTTTGTAGTGTACCATATTCCGTACGGGACTATTGTACTAAATCATCGCTCCGATTCATACTTTTTTAAAAGTATTCTACTTTTAAATCGACCTCCATACTTACGAAATCGAATTGTACTTTTTTGAAAGTATCTACTTTTAAATCAACATTTTGGGAAAAATAGAAGAAATCTGGCTTAAGGACCTCCAAAATTCCAAAGTTTTCGCCTGCGGCGCAAAAAATGGTTGATTAGCATTTTGTCGATCGGAGCCTGTACTAAATAGAGCTAAACAATAAAAAACCCTCGGTAGTGCGGTGTGTTCCGATATCTAATTATAACAATCTTCATAATACGAGAATAAAAACCCAAAAATCCACAAAAAGTCTGTACATTTGGAATAACGCTAATCCGTCTCCCATCATTTCAATAGTGACACGCCCAAGTAGGCGCGCGGCCAGGTAGGCGCAAAGCCATAACTACCTGAAAAATTTCTGGACCTTAACAATTTTGGTACCAAATCTTTAGCTCGATGAGAGGAATCGTTTAATGCTATATTTTGTCAGATTCGAAAATCTTGAAGCAAGTTATGGCTTTGCGCCTACCTGGCCGTGCGCCTACTTGGGCTGTACCCATTTCAATAAAGTCTATAGGGTGACGTATTAACAGGATTCCATTGATACCAAATTACTTTCAAATGAAGTCTAACCTCACTACAGGATAATCAACATTCGATCAGTTGAAGTGTTTTTAAACTGGATAAGCAATACTCGCAATAGAGATATCTGTGGAATCCTCAAATTAATTTTATCAGTCTCAAGCTTCATCCTATAGTGAGATCGGTTAGACTATATATGTTAAAAATAAGAATATCCCTATAGTAAAGCAGCTATTTCTCTCCTTTAGCTAGTGCAAAAGGTTATTCGGCGGCTGGGAGCGAACCAGCATCTTCAGTAGACCGGACAGATGTGTTAGCCATTACACACCGCCGCCTACTGCACAGCCTTAGGAATTAAATAGCTGTATGCTTTACACTATCTATACTTTTCAAAACCATTGTTAAACTCTATAAATTGAAACACTAATTTCACAAAATCGTACAAGTACATTTCCCATGTGAAACACTTTCATTCAAATCCACCAGAGGAGACTGGGGACGTTCATGTCTACTTCCACGCCCATGTCGATGTCCACTTTCTTCATGTGGGCGTTCAGAAGTACTTCCACCCGTGACATTTTGTGGTGCTGGCCGATTTCCGCGATGTTGACGCCGCGATTTGATGTTTTTTCTGCGACGTGGAGGATCGACATGTTGAAAAGTGAAAGATTCCGGAGAAGAGCCTTCTTCTTCTCTAGCCTAATTAATAAATAAATTAAAAAAGCTTTATTAAATTAACATTCATATGTTAAATCAACCAAAATTGCCCTTTCCGAAACTAAATTTACCTATACATTTAATGATTTAATTACCCATCAACAATTATTCTCTATTAGGTAGACTAACTTATTAAATTAATTTAAGGCGGAATTCGATTTAGGTATACACTCTGTTAACTAATTATACGCACCCCCTATGGTTTGAGTTTTTCAAACTGAAATCGGAATGTGGATTTCTAGTT